TCCAACCTGGAACATACACCCCCAGTCTGAAGTGTAGATGTACCCACTGAGCCAATACCTAGCTCAGCTTAGTACCCAGACACAGATAACCCCGCCCCAGTACTGCAGCGTATTCTGGAAATGTGTTAGTAGCTGCCTAACTAACCAACCCCTCTCTGTAACGGAAACGGTTTGCTGCATTGAAACAAACCTAGAAAGCACCAACCACCCTGCTAAGTGTTTGTCGATTTTTGGAGGTGATCCGGTCACTGGGAAAGGTTCTATAACACTGCTCAGTGCATAGACCCTTCTGTCTAAGCCCTCACGTTTCCCACTGCTGGAACTCCTGGGCTGCACTGGTACACGCTCGGCAGAGGCCGTGCCCCACCAGTTCAGAAATCCCTCTGCTGTTGATGTGGTGACCAGAGGGGTTAGGACAGAGCTTACAGCCCCTCCACCAGCCACAGCTGGCCTCCTTTGGTGTCTATCAGAGAATCAGTATTTCCCTCTTCCCATCTCTCTGGTGAGTTTGGAGCATATGGGAAACTGGGAACATCCATCTCTCCTTTATCCCCTACTGATCCATGTACCCCATTGCAGTGGTCCCAGGGCCTCCAGTAACAAACAACTTCCTTTGATCAGGGTGCCTTGCAACAGATAAAGAAGTATGTGGCACACAACAATTTTGATCATGCTTTAACAGAAATCCTTAACTATGACCTCATCCTTTTCCCAATAACACACACCTCACCTGTGTGCACATTGCTTCTAAACCAATTCCTGGGCTTGCAGTTAAGGTTTTCCGTTATAGTGCAGAAGCGATTAATGTGTTGCATTCAGTATGTCCCTGTGTCTATTGAGTATGGAGTAATTTCTCTGGGGAGATGCAGCATGCTCATGAAGAACAGAGCCTAACGTGATGGATGGGTGTATAGGCTTAAGGGACGAAGGTCCTCCTTAACCTGGCAGTTCTGCGCTCCTCAGGGATTAGGTAGGTGGGTTTGTTACATAAGCAACCGGAATTGATTTGTAACAAGTTTATTTTCTATTTAAATAACTACAGCGGTAGAAGATGAGCAATGAATTAATTAAGGTGAGGGTTGCCCAGTTTACTGCAGAGTACAGAATACAGGACTGCTTCTCTTTGGCCGAGTGGTTTACACAGGCCCTGGGGCAAGCTGCTCAGGCTCTCAAGGCCTGACCCTAAGTACAGAATTTCAGGGCCAGAGTTTCTGCGCTAGAGAAATAGAGAGAGGGAGTTATTTGGCAGAGGTTGCATATACTGGTACCACCAGGGCACTGTAGAACAGACCCAGCTAAGCACACACTGCACTGATCTTCCACATGAGGAAGCTGCTCTCATGATGAGAGGGACACCTTCCTTTAGAGGAGACTCACTTTCCCATAACAGTAGTGGGTCATTTCTCATGCACTGTGCCTCAATTCCACAGGGACGGCCTCTCCCAGTTGCTCCTCCCCTTGGATTTACCTGCAGAGAAAGGCAGGAAGGCCTCTCGCTTCACAAACTCCCCATCTGCATCCAGGAAGTGCTCCGGGTAGAACTGGTGCGGCTTCTCCCAAACCGTTTCATCCTTCAGCACCGAGGACAAGTTAGTGATGACTGTCGTCCCCTGATCCACCCCAGAGAAGAAACGGGGTACATAAGAATTGTCACATCAGAACAGGCCAGTCCCCCTGCATTCAATTTCCCATCTCAAGTAGTGGCCATTGTAGGATGCTTCAGAGGAAGGCACAGAACCCACCTCAGATACCTAATTGTATAATCTTATAGCACAGTGGAGTGGGACACCTTCAAGGCCCTCGGCAGTGCACGGCATATGCTCTGAAGCCTGTCGCCCTTGTACATTGCATGCTAGCTAGACTAAGAATATGCAAGTGGTGTTTTAAAGGTCCAATGAGGTTCATGGGATGAAAATTGCTTCTACTCCCCAATTTTAGCTCTGGTAAGAGTGTTCTGATTGAGAGACTCTGAACTACAGTTCTCATTGTCTTCACAGAAAAAGCGAGATCTTTCCCCTCTCAGGTGTCTTAGACCTGAGCTAGAGGAGTTTCTTCTAAGGGCGAAAGTGGAATTGAGTATTGTATGGCTTTGGTCTCTCCAGTGAGACTGTCACCAAGGAAGGCAATAATTGCCCGTCATTGTCTCTTGTCTACTTGGAACTGGACTGAGATGCACAGGGCCTCTGAACAGCCTTCAGATAATAGAGTTTTAGTTGCTACTGTACTGGATTTGAACTCTTGACCTAGCAGGTAGTTTCTATACAGTTAATCAGCATTACCTTTCTCCACCTTCAAGCAGATATACTGAATGTTATAAGGTGCCCAAGACAAAATTACAGTCTCCCTTGTAATGATAGCAATCCTTAGTTGTGTTTTAGCTCGATTTGTTGTTTTTTCAGATATCCAAAGACCTGTTGAAGATGGAGCTAGCCACATAAACAAGGCTCTCTGAGGCCCAAGCCCTTTCAAAACTGCACATTTGATAACTCGCCAATGGTTGTGAGATTCAGGGCCTGGTGCTCCACCCCCCTCTGCATGGAACCTTGGGGAGATTCACATATGGAATGTCTGCAGCTTCAGGAGATAAGTCTGCAAGGGGAGAAGATGTCTGCATCCCCTGCCTGGCCATAGATACCTTTGGAATGAAGTAGCCTTGGAGCTCGGTGTCCCGGTATGTCATGTGAGGCAATCCAACAGGAACAATATCCCCATAACGTTGAGTTTCATGGATCACAGCATTGGTATAAGGCATGTTCGCTTGGTCCTCCATCTGGGGTGACCTGTCCCTGCCAATCACCTTATCAATTTCCTCATGGACTTTACCTGGAAAAAGACACTTTACATCCTCCTCAATATAACATAATGATGTACATCAACACTGTAGAAATGGGGAACCTGCAGATTTACCCTTAAGTTTTAAGCACTCTGGGGCAGGGATTGTCTGTTTATTTGTACAGCGCTGGGTTTATATTCTGGGGGATATGATTGCTCTCTTTAAATATATCAGAGGGATAAATACCAGGGAGGGAGAGGAATTATTTCAGCTCAGTACTAATGTGGACACGAGAACGAATGGATATAAACTGGCCGTGGGGAAG